AAGGCGCTAAATAAATAAAAAATTACGTACTTATTAGGTCTCGTTGATTATAGATGTTGATTCACGAACACAGATCAGAGAATCAAACCGTTCAAACACAAGAAGAATGAGCGTCTGTGTAGGTTTCCTCCAGGTGCTCCGGTTTCCCCTACCACTAAAAGTATGTGTAGTCTCATTGAATTCATGTTTGACGTACAGATAAATTCCATTCAATTTCATTTAAATTTATTTAGTATATTCCTAAATCACAACATTAGTTAACACAAGAAATGCAATGATAAAATACACATAGAGCCATTGGTCAATTAAATGTCCATAAATTGTCCTTAGACCCTCCTAAAATAAAACATCAAAATCAAACAAACATATAGACACACAATGTACAAACATACAATATCGTTAGTAACTTTAAAAAAATACATTTGTTGCCAAAATCATTCACCAAACAGACCAGGAGAATCTGAGCCATGATTATAATTTTCTTGATAATTAGATAGAGAAATAGAGACAGTGAGATGGAGAGATGGAAAGAAAGAGAAATGGAGAGATAGATGGAGAGATAGAGAGGGGGAGAGAGAGAGAGAGATAGAGAGAGAGAGAGAGAGAGAGAGAGATGGGGCGACAGTGGCTCAGTTGGCAGAGCATTGGCCTTTGAGCCAGAAGGTTGTGGGTTCGAGCCCACCATAAAACTTTCACCACCGACTCCACTCCACTGATGTCTGCTGTTGTTGTGTCCTTAGGCAAGACACTTCACCCCCATTGCCTAGAATGAGTCTGGTGTGTGTGTGAATGGTTGGTGGTGGGAGGGGCCGATGGCACAAACTGGCTGCCTCGCTTCTGTCAGTGTGCCCCAGGGCAGCTGTAGCTACAGTAGTAGTTTATCACCACTGTGTTTGGAGTGAGAGAATAATGACATGTGAAGCGTCTTTGAGTTTCCAAAAAAGCGCTGTATATAAAACCAATGCATTATTATAGAGATAGAGAGATAGAGAGATAGAGAGATGGAGAGATAGATTAAACTTTATTGTCATTACAAAGTCAGAACAATGCAACAAAATCCATTTTATTATCTAACCAAAAGTGCAGGATCATTGTATACATATATGTGAGACTGTACAGCGCTGCTAATGCTAGTATTGATGCTAGTAATCAAAGTAAAAATAGCCAATTTACTGTTGATTTAAAAGTGTTGATTGTTTAATTTTACAACAGCGGCTCACTCCAGTCTTTCTCTTAACTCCGCTCTAAAGAAACACTTAATTCGACTTCAAACATGAATTGAAATCCTGCTCCAAACTCTATAAATGTACCTCTTTCGATAAAAAATTCTCTCTCTGAACGGAGCGTGTCTGAGTGAAACTGCCGCATTTATGAAAACACTTGTGGACGTGTGTTTTTTTCTTTAAAAGCTAAAAGGACTGGGATGAAAAGAGTGCGTGGAGCGGTAAAGGGTCAGTCCGTTAAGTGGCTCTAAGTTCTTCCCCGACACAGAACTTTACTTTCACTTTGGCGTCAGTGGAGTGGGCGGCTTCAGATCGCACTAAAACTGGATCCGACAACGATAGCCGGCTTCAGAATGAGCGTTGTTGCAGCTTGTCGATGAATATGGCAGTATTAGGGCTGTAATTAAGACAAGGCAAGTTTATTTTTATAGAACGGATCTTAAGCAAGGCCAGAGTGGGGCGGCTGCGGCTGTAAAGTGGCAAAAATGTGGTTGTGTCCTTAGGCAAGACACTTCACCCTAGGGCTGGGCGATTAATCGATTTTAATCATTAATTCGAGTTTTACGTTTAGGGCGATTTCTTTTTTTAAAAATTCGATTTTTATTTTCTCCAGCGCAGAACTACAGCGCTAACGCGCTAACCGCGGGTCTATGGTGTTGAGCAGTCATTTTGAAGCTAACCTAATGCTAACAGTCTCCCTCTGGCCTGATGCTCGCTCTCACAGTTGGTGCTGTTGCAATAACACTTCAAACGTTCAAGAATCAGACTTTATTTAAATCGCCAAAACACACACACACAGGCTCCGGTCGTACGCCACATCTTTCACGCTCTCTCACGCTCGTTATTCCAAAGCGCACTCCCGTGTCCGTGGCGCGCACACACTCGTGTCCCACTGAGCCGCTGCACTTTGGGGAAAGACACGTCTCACACATTGCTCTCATTGCTCTGATACAAACAACGTGTTCCCCGCTGTCTGTTAGCTACAGTAGCTGCTAGCTACAGTAGCTGCTAGCTACAGCATCAGAATGTAAACAGGAAGCTCGCACAGTCACTGAAGTTAGTATTAGCGCCACCAGCTGGACCGAGCGTTGTACTACAGCACAGTTACTCAGGCACAGTTGAAAGAACAAGCATGAAAACCCGAGGAGGCTTTTGGAAAAGACTGTTACAACATTTCTATTTTGAGTAATCAGTTTTAAAAATGTGATATTTCATGTAAATAATGCATGTGTTTAATAGGATTGATATATTTGCGATGGGCCTTGTTTTTGTGATTTAAGTTATTTTGAAGGTGCATAGTGTCATTGTAAGTGAAGTTATTATAAAACTGTTAAGCTACATTTTCACTGTTTACAATGGCAGAGCCATCTCGTTTACAATCATGTTTTAAGGCTTAATTCCTGTTACACTTATGCTCCATGGGGATTTAGATTAAACTGCATAAAGGAAAATCTATTTCTTTGTCAGTTGTAGTTTGTTTTTAAATAGAAAAAAATAAATCGATTAAAATCGAAAATCGGATTTGGTGTGAAAAAATCGGAGATTTTTTTTTTTTGCCATATCGCCCAGCCCTACTTCACCCACAGTAGAATGAGTCTGGTGTGTGTGTGTGTGTGATTGGTTGGTGGTGGTGGGAGGGGCCAATGTGTATAGTAGGGGTCTCCAACCTAAAGCTCGGGAGTTACCAGTAGCTCCCCAGCCCCTTTCAGGTATCTCCCCAAAGGATTTCGACTTTATGAATAAATTTTTACATATCTATTATTCGTACAAATATAAAGTTATTTTTGTGTGTTCTTCTTGTGTGTTTCATTTGTATCCATTTATATGATAGGGACAATGCACATTAATGAAAATCAGTATAAAACAAATGTAAATATGCAGGATTGTAGCTACCAAGCTAGTTTTCATCCGCAGTCCCTCGGCAGGAAAATATGTAAGAAATGACGACATACAATACATTAGAATAAAAAATAACACAATACAATACAGACAGCACAGGGACAAGTTAAGATTTTAATTTTCAGTTCTCTATCGTCTTTTTCGTTGTGACTGCAAAAAAGGAGTAGCTCTCTGCCTCCTCTGTTGTATAAAAGTAGCTCTCCGATTGAAAAAAGTTGGAGACCCGACATGTGAAGTTTTTTTGATTGTCCAGGAAAGCGCGATATATAAAACTGATGCAATATTATTTATTTATTTATTTATTTATTTATTTATTTATTTATTTATTTATTTATTATTATTATGATTATTTTTTATTATTATTATTATTATTTTTATTATTATTATTATTATTATTATTATTTATACAGTATTAGCTCAGTGGTGTCCTCTGAGCTGAAACTACCTCCTATTGGTGATGGCTGCCCTGTGTCCTTGGGCAAGACACTCAAAATCCTTGCCCCCAGTGTCTGCCTGTATTGTGTATTACTGTGTGTGTGTGTGTGTTTAGCTTAAGTGTGTTTCTGCGTGTGTGTGTGTGTGTGTCTATGCAGTCTATGGTCTGTGCATGTATGTTGTGTGTGCGTGTTGCTCTGTGTGTGTGTGTCTATGCGTGTATCTATTTGTGCGACTTGAAAATTCAGAAAATGTGAACATACATTTCAGCATTTATGATAATTCTAATGTTAAAGTTTCACCTGTTGAAAGGTTGTTCCCAGTTTATCCACGTCTCTAAGTTATACTTTTGAGAAAATATTCCCACAACCAACATTAAGCATTTCCCCAACTTTAGTGTTTGACTTTAGGATCCAGACATAAAATCCCTGATCTCTGTGTGAACACCGGTTAAAGTCTCAGTCACAGCACATCCACACGAGGCCACAGGGAGCAGCCGAGCCAACAGATGGTGCCACAAATATGAAAATATCGGTTTAATAAAGTCCCGCTACCATCTGGTTCATTTGTCGTCACTGTGGGAGGAGAGAAAACTGTGTCATACAAGGGTCGTGCCGTGCCGTGTTTTAAAATGATATCTGAGGAATTGTCAAACTGAAGCTATTCTGACGTTTGTCCAGCAGAGGGCAGTATTCACCAAGCAATAAGAGCAGACATAGCGATGCTGGCAGTGGAGGAGAATGTGTGTTTGTATTTTTTTTTAAATAAATAATAAAATAGATACTAACGATACTATATTGTTAATAGCTGTATTTTTGAGGGGACTTTCTCACAAAACTATATGATTATATTTTTATTTTGTTCAAAGGCAAATGGTTTTGTTTTTACATACTTTTCAAATGGCACTGATGTGATTTTAACAATTATATATTTGCTTTGTACTTGTCGTAGTACAAAGCAAATATGACATTTACTGGTTCCTCCCATGTAATTAGCTGTTCATTAGTGAGGGCTGAACTCTTTTTCTGCTTCTCTCTCTCTCTCTGCCTCTCTCTCTATGTGTCTCCCTCTTTTTCTCTCTCTCTCTTTTTCTGCCTCTCTCTCTGCCTCTCTATGTGTCTCTCTTTCTCTCTCTTTTTCTGCCTCCATCTCTATGTGTCTCTCTTTCTCTCGCTCTCTCTTTTTCTGCCTCTCTCTCTGCCTCTCTATGTGTCTCTCTTTCTCTCTCTCTTTTTCTGCCTCTCTCTGTCTCTCTCTCTCTCTGTGTCTCTCTCTCTCTTGAATGTAGAGTGTCCTGGATCAACACTGCTGTCCTTACACCCTCCTACATTGACAAGGAACAAATCTAATAAATAAAATCTCTCTTTCCCCCCTCCCTCTCTCTCTCTCCCCTCCCTCTCTCTCTCCCTCTCTCCCCTCTCTCTCCCCTCCCTCTCTCCTCAGTCCATGGTCCTGCTCCTGCACAGCCAGCACCAGTACATATTCGACTACGACTCGGGTGACCGTCTGTCCGCGGTGACCATGCCCAGTGTGGCGCGGCACACCATGCAGACCATTCGCTCCATCGGCTACTACCGGAACATCTACACCCCCCCAGAGAGCAACGCCTCCGTCACCGTGGACTACTCTGAGGACGGACAGGTCGGTGCCAAACATTTAGGCGGATCCACATGTGGTGGGCTACGGTTCAGGGTTTCACAGCAACACACACTACAGTTTAGACAAGGAAAGGCAAGTTTATTTGTATAGCACGGTTCATACACAAGGAAACTCAAAGTGCACAATCACACAAGGCTTAACATCATAAATAATCACAATGCATTAAAAAGAGTAAAGATACAATCCTTCAGTTTTAACTTGGATTTGTAAGAAAAGAAGCCTGTCTCAGATTTTCAGGAAGACTGTTCTAGATTTCAGCTGCATACATCTGATACACTGCCTCCTCATTGGTAGACCTGACTCTGGGACCAGCAGGAGGCCAGTCCCTGTGCTCCTCAGAGTCCCAGCAGGAGGCCAGTCCCTGTGCTCCTCAGAATCCCAGCAGGAGGCCAGTCCCTGTGCTCCTCAGAATCCCAGCAGGAGGCCAGTCCCTGTGCTCCTCAGAATCCCAGCAGGAGGCCAGTCCCTGTGCTCCTCAGAATCCCAGCAGGAGGCCAGTTCCTGTGCTCCTCAGAGTCAGTGAAATATGAAATGTAAGCAATGTTTTCCCCTCTCTCCAGCTCCTGAGAGTGGCTCACTTGGGCACCGGACGCCGGATCCTTTACAAGTACCGCAGACAGGTAAACTTTCACTGGGTCGGGGAGGTGGCAGTCAGAGCTGCACCCAGTACACAGAGCCCCAGCCTAACTAGATTCAGATTGAGTTTATTTACCAGTTTCAGTAAGAGTTGCAAGATCTTGAAAGGGCTTGATGAGTAGTAATAATAATTTATTTTTCTTTATGCAGTAAAGAAAATTTATGTATGTATTGTATTTTCTTTTACCTACACTGCAAATATTAATTTGCGCACTTTTTGACCCTGCCTTAAAACAAGATATACCAATGGGTCAAAGCAAAATAATTTAGTTTCAAAAAGATACAAGAATTGTCTCCCTTGGAATGAGAAAACAACAGTTCTTGAAATGTTTTGTCCCATCTGCAAAAAACGCAATTCAATCATTTATTATCTCATATTTTATCATTTTTTGCAGTGTATATGGCTCGCATTTTATTTTGTCCTAATAATGATACAAAAAATAATTAAAAAGAATTCATTTATGTCCAGTCCCGTGACTCTTTCCCATTTTCCCACAGAACAAACTCGCCGAGATCCTGTACGACTCCACTCGCGTCAGCTTCACGTACGACGAAACGGCCGGAGTCCTGAAGACCGTGAACCTGCAGAGCGAGGGCTTCATCTGCTCCATCCGGTACCGGCAGATCGGGCCCCTGGTGGACCGGCAGATCTTCCGCTTCAGCGAGGACGGCATGGTCAACGCCCGCTTCGACTACACCTACGACAACAGCTTCCGCGTGACCAGCATGCAGGCCGTCATCAACGAGACTCCGCTGCCCATCGACCTCTACCAGTTCGACGACATCTCCGGGAAAGTGGAGCAGTTCGGGAAGTTCGGGGTCATTTACTACGACATCAACCAGGTGAGGACCGGTCCAAACTGGTTTAAGGAAGGTTCATCTAGTCTTTTTTGTAAATATTAGAATAGTATAAAACGTTATTGTCACGGCACATTTAAAAATCTATTAAAACACTTAAAATACATTTAGCAAAGACACAATCGTTCATAATTTTTGCAGTGCTACCGGTTATTAAGGTATTTGTTTTGTCTACACTGCAAAAAATGATAAAATATGAGGTAATTAATGCTGGAATCGAGAGGATTTTGTCTTAATTTGACTTTATACCGACTGTTTTAAAACAAAATTAATTCATCTTAATTCAACAATTGTTGCTTTATTTTCTCATTCCAAGGGAGACATTTCTTGTAAATCAAAGCAAAAAGATAATTTTTCTTTATTCTCTGATCTGTGTTGGCGAATCGACAACTTTGTAAAGTCCTCCGAGATAACTACTGTTGTGACGAATACTCATTGAATTGAATTGATTTGAAACTACAAGCTTCCTTCTCTGGAATACTGATCATCGTCTTGCCGTCTCTCCCCATTCTGTGATTCGTCCCCAAATCCATGCAAACGTTTCGGCCTGAGTTTCCAGACTGATGCGCAAATGAGTACCTCCAGGCTCCAGGCATTTAAAGTAGGGCTGTCAAACGATTAACATTTTTTAGTTGATTAATCGCAAAGAAATGGTGAGTTAACTCACGATTAATCGCATTTTTAACATTCTATTTCAAATCCACTCCAATTGAAGTTAAACGAGATTATCAAATGTCATTCATACCAAATGTACCTAAATCTGTTAGATTTGCTCACAACCCTTTGCTTTTGGGCAAAACCAACATGAGCTGTTAATGAAAGGGGGAAATTTACATACCCCAGCTTTAATTCAGCGAGTTTAGTTTAGTTTCAGGAAAAGACAGGGACACTTCCGCAGTGTATTTGCGTGCACAGGTTGCAAAGACACGATCACAACATGCAGACAAAGTTCTGTGGCGTATATGGTCTTATATGACCATGTTACCGCGGCACCATTCACTCACAGCCGTGTTGTTGTGAGCGGCTCACAGCCGTGTTGTTGTGAGCGGCTCACAGCCGTGTTGTTGTGAGCGGCTCACAGCCGTGTTGTTGTGAGCGGCCGCGGAGGAGGCGGACCTCAGTTCACAGCAAACAACAGCCCAGCGGTGACGCGCGTATTCTTTTAAAACATGAGTTCCCAGAGGGCCTACCTGCTCTGATGCATCTTACACGCAGCATTCTGAGAGATATTAAGGATAAATGGGCGGGTCATTCGGACTTGCGTTAATTTTTTTTTTACGTGTTAATGAAAAATGTAATTAACGTGAGTTAACGCGATAATTTTGACAGCCCTAATTTAAAGTGAAGTATAACATGCCATAGAAGCCCAAGTTAACACTGAGACTCCCAGAATTATCTAAAACTTATTAACAACTAGAACTCCTGGAGCCGTCATTTTGACTGCTCCCATTCAGTCACATGGAATTCTGAGGAATCCCCCCCAAAAAATGTTTTGTTTTCCATCAGATGTATAAAAGAAATGTATATGTAGTTTTTTTTTTTTTTTTTACCTTTACTTCCTTTCAGTTAGTGCTAAAAATTATTTAAAAAATAAATAAATAATAACTGTGTGTCCAAAACTAATTGCCGTCAAATTGTCTGCTCTGAGAGTTCTAGTGTTAATGTAATTTTAATCATAAAAAAATAATTCCAGAGGCCTCTAAGAATGGTGTTGTGGTCCAGATTTGGCTCTTGCGCCTTAAGTTTGGTCTGCTGTAGTTGCTACGTGGTTGCTACCCACATAGTATCTGCCTTGGCTCTGATTGGTCCTTGGCTCTAATTGGTCCTTGGCTCTGATTGGTCCTTGGCTCTGATTGGTCCTTGGCTCTAATTGGTCCTTGGCTCTGATTGGTCCTTGGCTCTAATTGGTCCTTGGCTCTGATTGGTCCTTGGCTCTAATTGGTTCTTGGCTCTAATTGGTCCTTGGCTCTGATTGGTCCTTGGCTCTGATTGGTCCTTGGCTCTGATTGGTTCTTGGCTCTGATCAGTCCTCTCTCGTCCCTCAGATCATATCCACCGCCGTCATGACTTACACCAAGCACTTCGACCAACACGGACGCATCAAAGAGATCCAGTACGAGATCTTCCGCTCGCTCATGTACTGGATCACCATTCAGTACGACAACATGGGCCGCGTTACCAAACGAGAAATCAAGATCGGGCCGTTCGCCAACACCACCAAGTACGGCTACGAGTACGACGTGGACGGACAGCTGCAGACGGTCTTCCTCAACGAGAAGATGATGTGGAGGTAACGGACACACCCAATGTCAAGTTGTTGTACACTATAGAAAGAGCCCTGTGAGTCACTATTTGACGCTTTGGGCTGAGAGTGAGGGAGGTTCTCTCTATTTCACTATTTCACTTATGGGTAAAAAAAAAAACGGATCCAAAGGTATGACAGAGGCCAAAAACATGTGCATGTGAAAGTTGAAAGGATTTTATAGAATTGTGGTTGGAAAGAAAGGTACCCCCGCTTTAAGTTAAGTTTGGAGGATTTTCCCAAATTTTAGGAAATAACCGCCCTCTCCACATTTTGAACAAATCTCTCTGGTCTGATTTGACGAGTTTCACCAGAATGATTGACAGTTAGGAGGACCAATTGTCTTGATGATAAACCCAGAAATTGAACCCACTCGCAAACTATTACAGCAACTACAAAAAGTTGAAAATCTGATTTCAAGTTTTTTTTTTTATATACTAAAATAAATCACCCTTCGTCCTTATGTAACTCCTTGTCATGTATATTAGAGCCGCACTCATTTTTCATTCATCATTCATCACATGGCACACCACCAACTAAAACTGATACAAACACATCAGACATCTTTCTATTTTTCTTGCATAATTTTCTTTTCACATAATTTGATCATTGAGGTAGGCACACTAAACAACAATGCCGTTAATCAAGGCATAGTAATTTTGGATTTCTGGCACTAGGCCTCATTATCCCTCATTCTAAAACCCAAAGTTATAGGAGGATTTTCTACTTCCGGGTGGATCATCAAGACTATTGGTCCTCTCAAGTGTCAATCATTCTGGTGCTCAACAAACACCAGAGTTTTGTTGAAAAAGTGGATAGGGCGGTTCTTTCCTAAAAATTGGGAAAATCATCCTCTATACCTTTAATAAGCACAGCACATTGCAACTCAAATCATAAAAAATCACAGAACATTACAAAAAGTGAAGATCCTCCAATCCTTCAGTTGCAGCGAAACAGAACTGTCTTGAACCTGGATTTTAACAGATTTTTCCACGTGTTGTTGCAGGTTTAACTACGACCTGAACGGGAACCTGCACCTGCTGAACCCGACCAACAGCGGGCGCCTCACCCCTCTGCGCTACGACCTCCGAGACCGGATCACGAGGCTCGGCGACGTCCAGTACCGACTCGACGAGGACGGGTTCCTGCGGCAGAGAGGAGCCGAGATCTTCGAGTACAACTCCAAAGGTGAGGTTTAGAGTTTTTATGTCGTGCTTTAGAGATAGGGAAGTTAGAAATCGGCAAATGCTGAGACTTCAGAGAAAAACATGATAAACATACATGGGTTTAAGGATTTTCTTATTTTCACTCCTGTCAAATCTCAATGGAATGGGAGGAAGTTTATTCATACCGTATATATAATTTTACTTTATTATTATTATTATTATTTGTATTACTATTATTATTGTTATTATTATTATTATTATTATCATTATTACCTGACATAATAACAGGTTGTATATACCATATGTAGTATAACTTTATTCATCTTAGTATGGAGGACATTTTTATTTTTTTCTTCAGAAAGTTTTTCATGAATTTGAAAAAGCTAAAATTGACTAAAAAACAATAACAGAAATAATCAGAAGTAAAAGTGTCCTGGGGTCAGATAAGACAGACTTTATTGATCTCACACTGGAGAAGTTTACAATGAATTGACTGAGACAGAGACAGTAAACTGGCATTTTTACACAAACGTCCTCTCCCCTGTGGTAGGTCTGCTGGTGCGCGTCTACAGCAAAGCCGCCGGTTGGACCATCCAGTACCGGTACGACGGTCTGAGCCGCAGAGTGGCCTCCAGGAACAGTCTGGGTCAGCACCTGCAGTTCTTCTACGCCGACCTCAACTATCCCACCAGGATCACCCACGTCTACAACCACTCCAGCTCCGAGATCACCTCATTCTACTACGACCTGCAGGTACCGGCACATTGTTCAGATCTGACACTGCAGGTACCGGCACTTTAAGACTGACAACCAGTGTGGGGAAAGTTACTTCAAAAACGCAATACTATTTCAAAGTCATGTGTTTTAATATTACGCTCTCCGAAGTGTAAAGCAGTACTCTTCTACTGCATTACTTTGAAGATACTTTTCCCCAATATATATATTAGGGCTGCACGATATATCGAAAAAATATCATTATTGCGATATTGGTGCGTGCAATATCCATACCAAAAATATGCGCAATTATTTGTTTTCCTTTATTAAAGACAACATTACAGAAAGACACATCAACATTCAACAACAACAACAAACAAACAAACAAAAAAGTATATAAATGCATTTGAATGTCATTAATGTTGTGCTTATTTTTTGTTATTTCTCTCTTGCGTTTCAATGCAGAATACAATTTAAGGTGAAAGACAAAAAAATCACATTAATATCGTTATCGCAATACTAAACACTCATATCAAATATCGCTCTAATTTCCAATATCGTGCAGCTCTAATATATATATATGAAAATAAAATAAGATATCATGCAAAGTGTGCAGTAACCAAAGGGCCAGATATGATGAGACTTGTTCTTCTTCTCTGCTCCGTTTCATTCAGACTGTTTGGTATTGGCGGTTTTTGTTGTTGTTGTGATGTCCCTTTGAATGAAATAAAATGCTAAAAAAATATAACGTACTTATGATGCTGTTGCGTGAGGTTGAAAGAGCTTTTAGTTTGACGCATGACGTACATTTACCTGTAATGATCCACATCTTTGTCTCCAAAAAACTCTAAATGTGCTATTGCCGACGTAGTGCTGCTTCTGCTTCAGCCTCAGCCGTCTGCCACCAGAAAGGAACAACACTTCTAGGCAAATACTATTGGCTTTTTCTCCTCTGCTGATCTCGCAAATCAAAACACAATTGAATTTTGGACTAAAATGCAAAGTAACGCATGTTTCTGACCTCTGTACCGAGTAAAATATTACCCAAGTTTTTTTGAAAGCCTCACATTACCGCAAAGTATGAATCTTGCAACTCAAATCAAGATTCATTCAACATTACTTTTTTACTTTTTTGATGATACTTTTTGATACTAAGATTGTATCAAAAAGCGCTAACTAGTATTGCTTTTTGATTCTGCTATAAAATGCTAAAACTAGTATCAAAACCTAATAATTTAATAGGAAAAATAACACTAACAGTACAAACTAAGACATTTTCTAACCTTTTTAACTACAAACTAGTCCAAAACTAAGCAGAGAAAACAAGTACTGTTATTGTGTACTATTATAAGTGTTAAAGTTACCGCTTATTGTTCAAAAAGAGCATTTTGAAATCATCATTCACTGCAGAGGACACTTTCTTACCGATAATTTCTCTTAATCTTCCTGGCGGAGCACGCACAGACCTTTTTGTCTTTCTTTTAATCCACACTTCCCTGTGTTTTGATTGATTTTGTTTACATTGGGGGTGGTTCTCCTTCAGCAGCTGGAAACACTATCTTTATTAGAGAATCCTCTTTCAACACAAATCAGTTTGAGAAATTAATGCATTTCTTTACGTGCTTCACCGACTCGAGAAATCTATTCCAGCTACAATTCTGTTCTTCCGAGAGAGAAATGTGTTGTAGCTATAATAATAATAATGATAATAATACATTTGATGTATATAGAGCGAGCCTTTCTGGGCACTCAAGGTTGTAGCTCAGAGACATATATAGATGGACAATGCTAACCCACTTTTCTGAAAAATTACCAATTCAGGATTTTGTTCTTAAAGCTGGGGTTCCCAACTTTCATGAACTTTGTTATAAAATCCATGTAGCTAGTTCCTCTCTCTCAGAACAATGCTAACCTGCTAGCTCAAGGAAGCTAGCGGGAAGTACTTATGAACAAAGTTTTTCCAACTCGCTCTGGTTCCTATTGACTCCTCTAGCTCAGTCACCGTTTCGGTCTTAAATATCTGTGGTGTGGCGCCCCCTGGTGTCTATATTTATGGCCTATTGCTTTACCTAAAAGGAATGCCTGGACTTATTGCTGATTTGGGACCGAATTTTGACTTTCCAAATGACAGACATGGCACATTCGCACGTGACTAAGATCCCAGGCATCATCCGCAAATATCACAAATCACCAAAAGTCCGCCGGTAGAAGCTAAAACGTGTGAATAGGGCTTTAGCATCGTTAGCGTTTACGTTTTGTGACTGAACTCAATCTAAACTTGTTGCTTGTCGTCTCAGGGCCACGTGTTTGCGATGGAGATCAGCAGTGGGGAGGAGTTCTACATCGCCTGTGACAACACCGGAACCCCACTTGCGGTTTTTAGCAACAACGGACTTCTGCTGAAACAGGTATGGTACAGTACAGTACAGTATAGTAGAGCAGAGTAGAGTAGAGTAGGACAAAGTAGTAGAAAATCTAGATTGACGTTCAGCCGACCCCAGAGTCGCTGAAATGTCCATAATATGTCTTCGATCCTGACAGAGCGTGTGTGTGGTTCTCAGGTTCAGTACACGGCTTACGGAGAGGTGTACTTTGACTCCAACACAGACTTTGTTTTGGTGATTGGTTTTCACGGAGGCCTGTACGACCCTCTCACTCGCCTGCTGCACTTCGGAGACCGCGACTACGACATACCGGCCGGGAGGTAAACGCATCCGCTATCGCTACATCAGGGGTCCCCCAGATTATCCTAGAACACAATGACAAGCTATGTCTTTAGGCAGGTGAGAAAAAGCAGACGTAAGCAAAGCCTTAAAACTAAATGTATTTTATGGGAAAAGCAGCTTTAGTCTTTATTGCACTGCAAAAAGTGAAGAAAAATAAGTCGGAAATTGCTCCAATATGAGCACATTCTGACTGCCTTAAAAATCGATTTAAAAAACGTGAGCCATTTTTGACTTGAACTTTTGGGCTTTTCGCAGTCTCACCTTAACAGACCATACAACAATCTATAATGATGTATTTGTCTAGCTGTATCATGTAAAATTATTCTGCATATTTGTCAATTATAAATCCTTTGGGGAGCTACTTTGATAGGAGTGGCGAGCTACTGGCTTCTCCCGAGCTATAGGTTGGAGACCCCTGCTCTACATTCATATGGAAATGTTTTAATAGCATTCTTTGCTGATGCAGGGGGGTCCAAGAACAGGATATTTAAGAACATTTATAGACATTGGTCCTTCCACTTTCTATGTTTGTTATCAATGCATTTCCTGTTTGATTCTCTGATCTGTTGTAGGTGAATCGACAACATGTAAAGTCCTCTATGTTGACTGAATTTAGAACCTTGAATAAAAAACTGAGTGTCAATTGTTTTGATGTTTGCCGTTGTAATATATTCAGACCTTTGTTGAAAAGTCTTAATGTAGTTATTGCTTTTGGAATCCATCATGGGAGTATGTTTACGTGTTAAAAAGTCTTGGGTTAACACCAAACTTAAGGAAAAGCAAGAACATTTCCCAAAAGACGAGAAGAAAAGTGGCTGGTCCTTCGAGCCGGATCCAGGACAGGAAATTGAACAGAACCTCCACGATAGATGAGAATTCTTCGACCGTTTTTAGTCTGAATTAATTAGTTTCGCTATGGTCCTAAAATAACATTGTTTTGTTTGGTTTTAGGTGGACCACTCCGGACATCAGCACATGGACCAGAGTCGGGAAAGACCCTCAACCTTTTAACCTCTACATGTTCAGAGGAAACAACCCCATCAGCAAAGTGCACCAGGTCAAGGAGTATGTGACAGGTACGACCACAGCCTGCACCAAACTATAGTATTCTTTCATTAAAACATACTCAAGCAATGTCTGAAGGGAAATGATTCTTCTCTGAATGGTTTATTGACTTGAATCGCCAAAGCAACGGTTTTAGTTGAACTGTTTTTACTGCTGAAATCTGTAAATCTAACTTGAACTCGTAATGAATGAAATCGAGAGTTGGGTTTGTAGCTAAAAGTCCTGGACCACACAGTCTTAGTCCTCGTTCTACAGCCTGGATTTATTGCAAGTCCGTCTGTGAGAGTAGCTCCCTGAGGTTTCTCACTTTTCCCCACTGGGTTTTTTTTTTATTTGTTTGTTCAAATGCAGGAGGGTCTAAGGATAGTGATGATCCAGGACATTTAGGACTTATGGATATTTATTAAAATTCATAGACATTGGTCATGCTGCTATGGACAAGATAATGACCAAGGGGACCAAATGTTTCCTATGTCTCCTGTGGGATGGAGTTTATTCTACATATTTTCAGATGGAGGCTGAATCCGTGGCTGAATGTTCTTACATTCATCCTAGCTCTACTTTCTCTTTCTACAGACATCAATATCTGGTTGGTCACATTTGGCTTCCACCTCCACAACGCCATCCCAGGATTCCCCATTCCAAAGTTTGACCTGACGCAGCCCTCACTGGAGATGAAGAAGAGTCAGCTGTGGGACGACCTGCCTGTGAGTGACTCCAGAGCAACACTAGTGTAGTATTGTGTGTGACGTTGTCTCTCTGTCCTCATACCAACACTAGTGTGGTGTTGTGTGTAGTGTTGTGTGTGACGTTGTGTCTCTGTCCTCAGACCAACACTAGTGTGGTGTTGTGTGTAGTGTTGTATGTGACGTTGTGTCTCTGTCCTCAGACCAACACTAGTGTAGTGTTGTGTGTGACGTTGTGTCTCTGTCCTCAGACCATCTCTGGCGTGCAGCAGGAGGTGACGCGTCAGTCCAAAGCGTTCCTATCGTTCGAGCGCATGCCTGAGATCCAGCTGAGCCGCCGTCACTGCGACCACTCTCGTCCGTGGCTGTGGTTCTCGTCGGCGCGCTCTCTGGTCGGCAAAGGCGTGATGCTGGCGGTGGTGCAGGGCCGCGTGGTCACCAACGCTCTGAACATCGCCAACGAGGACTGCATCAAAGTGGCGGCGGTCCTCAACAACGCCTTCTACCTGGAAGACCTGCACTTCACCGTGGAAGGCCGCGACACGCACTACTTCATCAAGACCAGTCTCCCGGAGAACGACCTGAGCGCACTGCGCCTCACCTCCGGCCGCAAGGCGCTGGAGAACGGCGTGAACGTGACTGTATCGCAGTCCACCACCGTCATGAACGGACGCACGCGCCGCTTTGCAGACGTGGAGCTACAGTACGGCGCGCTGGCTCTGCACGTGCGCTATGGCACCACGCTGGACGAGGAGAAGGCTCGCATCCTAGAGCACGCCCGCCAGAGGGCGCTGTCCTCCGCCTGGGCGCGAGAGCAGCAGCGAGTGCGCGACGGCGAGGAGGGCGTGCGGCTGTGGACCGAGGGCGAGAAGCGGCAGCTGCTGAGCAGCGGCAAAGTCCTCGGTTACGACGGATACTACGTCCTGTCCATAGAGCAGTATCCGGAGCTCGCCGACAGCGCCAACAACATCCAGTTCCTGCGGCAGAGCGAGATCGGCCGCAGGTAACGGCCACGCGGCCTCAGACTCTGGAACAGGAACGTCACCAAACTGAAGGAACCCAACGTTTGTTTACTTTTCTGTAAAGATGGTCTCCACTGATCGATGATAATTACTTAATGCACTGACCCCAAACAATCGAGACCCTCGAGCTGAACAGGCTCAGTCTAAACGCCTTTGTCTTTTTTTTTATCTGCCTTCAAAACGCCTGCACGCACGCCCCTCCCCTGGTGTGGTGGGTGGGGCTAAACCTGAACCATGCCCCTCCCCTGTGTGGTGGGTGGGGCTAAACCTGAACGTACGCCCTTCCCTGGTGTGGGCGGGGCTAAGCCTGAAGCTCGCCTTTCCCCTGGTGTGGGCGGGGCTAAGCCTGAACCACGCCCCCTTGTGGGCGGGGCTGGTTGCTGATCCGTGAGCTGTTCAGCTGTGAAACAGTGAGATGTTAAGACTTTGAGCTAAGAGCATTTCTGCAGCGTCACGAGGAGCTGGAAGCATTTAGAGACAGTGAAACTGTCCGAGTCCAGAACTGTGGGACTCAGAGACACGGACCCTAAAGACTCACATTTGTACGGAGGACAAAAAAAGACTGTTTGGATTTTTTTGGTTTGTTTTGTATGAACTTGCATTTGCTTCAGACAAACAGGAGATATTAAAACGAACAAAAAAGTGTTTACATACTATTATCTATACCACTATTATTACTCTTCCCACTCCACGACACCAACACTGCAGGAACGCCCATCTCTGGACTGAACCAGGATTTGAGTTGTGTTTTCTTGTGTTTCTGACATTGCTGATGGGTGTGGGCTCCGTCCCCTCGGTCTGGAGCCGGGACCATGGACTCACTGCAGACGGACTGTTGCCTCAAACCCTGGTCTGCGGCGGGGCCCTCCCTCGTACCAAACGTGACTCGTACGATGCGTAGACCTTGTGCTTTTATCGGTCGGAGGTGGTAGTTTTGCTTGCAATAGAATCATGTCGTCATGGCGATCAGGGGTGGGCGGGGCGCTGTCAGTAGTATCCAACTGTTGCTTCTTTGTTTGATTTGCTTGTTTCTTAAAGGGGCAGCGCGTCGCCGTCAGTGACTCTAACAAGTAACAGTAATAGGTCAAAACTTGATGTGGACGTTTTCTCATTGATCGTCGGTCTCTGTGCTCTTAAAGGGGAGATTTTTTCTGTGTATGTGTGTTTACAAAAAAGGGAAGGCAAATATTTTAACCGTTACAAAAGGAAACGAACAGGAAGGATCGTCGGACACCATGCATACGCTACCAATTGTTTTGTTTCTTTCAATTGAGACGAGTTCAGCCTCTTTTGGGTTTCTCTTTTGATTTGGCAGATGGAGAAATTCCACTTATCCGTACATCAATATTAGTCTCAGAGAAAGTAATTTATGTACAGTGTTTATACGGTAAAAATAAAACTCTTGAAACTACTTTGTGTGTTGTCTTTTGTGGAAGGTGTCTTGCCTAAGGACACAACAACTCGACAGGACTAACCAGGCTCTGAAGTTCACTGCAAAAAATGGTGAAAAATAAGTAAAATCTGAGCACATTCTGACTGAGCCATAAAACATGATTTGCCGATGGGAAAAAGCAAAATGATCTTGTTTTAAAAAGACATAAGAAATGTCTCCTTTGGAATGAGAAAATAAAGCAACAGTTCTTGAAATAAGACTAAATGGCTTTGTCCCATTGTAAAATCTCGTTTTAACAGATTAAAACAGAAACCATTCCATTCAATCATTTATTACCTCATGTTTTATCATTTTTTGGCAGTGTTCCACTCCATGACAGAGGTCAAACTGTCCTTCTCTCCCTAAAATGTTAATAGTTACATAAAATGATCTAAAATCATTCCCAGAATGAACCATTTCTGGGTTTATTTGACCAAAAACAGATGAAACATACTTTATATGTTTACGTAAAGATTAGATCAGTCTCTGTTGATTTGGCAAATGGAGAAAGTAATTTATGTACAGCGTTCATACTGTAAAAAAAAAAAAAAAAAGATAAAGTTGTAGGTCTTTTTTCATTTTAGCATTTTTGTAAAGTACAAGTTTTCAGCCAAGGCAAAGAGTGTGAGTGTGAGAAAGATTGTATTTCATATAAAAAAAACTATAATTCACCCTGATACCTCAGGTTTGTTCACGTTTTATTGGTTTTAATGTCTTAAAACCACACAAAACTACACTTTTATTTTGTTTCTAGTTTTTTATATATTTTGTGGGTCAACAGTAATATCTAATATCTGGATCTACAGCCTCAGTCCTGGATCTACAGCCTCAGTCCTGGGTCTACAGCCTCAGTCCTGGGTCTACAGCCTCAGTCCTGGATCTACAGCCTCAGTCCTGGATCTACAGCCTCTGTCCTGGATCTACAGCCTCAGTCCTGGATCTACAGCCTCAGTCCTGGATCTACAGCCTCAGTCCTGGATCTACAGCCTCAGTCCTGGATCTACAGCCTCAGTCCTGGATCTACAGCCTCAGTCCTAAGTTCTAAACTGAATGAGAAACAATGGAAGCTTCTAAATCAGTGTTTTTACCGCTGTGGTCCTCTTGGGTGTGAACTACCAGCAAACACAAAAAACTGTAAACAAATACATTCAGAACAAAAGTATGAAGCAGCAGTTATTTCATATATATCTTATTTTACTTTAACCTCAGACACCCCATTGTTTTAGTGTTGTGTCTACAGACTTCACCCGGCTCTGTCACATGTCTTCATCCAGTTTGAGCTGCCTCAGCAATAAACACATCTTTGTTTCTCTTAAATAATTTTCATCTCATGCAGTTCCTTTAAAATACAGAGTCCTACAGAATCCTCTTCTTGGCCCACTTTGTTTCCAATAAGTACCATACTGTTGGCTGCTATTGTCATGGTTTCATTGGTTTTAAGACACTACACTTTAGCCTGCTTTTTAGTTTTTGGTACTGTTTTTGCAAAGTTGGTTAAATGTTTTGTTACGATAATATCTAATGAGTAGAACTCCTTACTAAACGTTTGCACTGGACCAGAATAAAACACTGCCTTGTACAGGACATTAATACATGTAAAAGCCACTTTTATGATAGAGTGGCTTTTATGATAGACACTAGGTGGCAGTCGGTAGCTCAACAACCTCCTGAGTGCTCATTTGAATGGCGTGTGTGGGTTACAATTATTGAAATTTGTCCAACACATTGATTTATGTGCAATAAACCAAAACGTAAAATAGAAGTGTGTCAATCCTTTATTTGTTAGTCAATAATTTCAACTCTAAAACTTGTGATATGACAAAGGAAAACACTACATATACCACAAATTCAAATCCCCCATGAATAAAAATAAAGGCTATAACTAGTAAGATTGTGCAGTAAATACAAATTACTACATTTAAGAATGACGATTAAAAGCAGCAGACCACCTCAATGACAAAAACTGTCTATTGAAAACCATAAACTGTTTGATTCTATCACTAACATTCACATGTTTATTTTTTTAGCCTCATCACATCTTTAGATCTGCTTTTTAAGACAGAAAAGTGAAAACATAAAAAGGAAGAACATTTGTTTACTCCTCGGTAACTATGGAAATGATCACATGTCTACGAAATCAAGAAGGTTCCAGCTCAGGGAAGGACACTAAAATGCATGCACTATTTTTTTGATAGATTTAGAAAGATACATATTTTTATAATCATCAGCAACGAGACACAGCCTACTGACTTGTTGTAACATACATTTCACTTTTCTTTTTCTTTATTTGGCTGAGTGGTGTTGCAGTTTTGAGAAATCAATCACAATCGCTTCCTTGGGTTCGAATTTCCTGCAAAAACAAAACAAAAAACAGTGTCAACAAAAAACATTCAGAACAAAAATATTAAAAAGACAAGGGTTTTATAACTGGTGGTTATAAGGATTTGGAATAAACTTAAATTCATAATAAACCGACAATCTTCACCCCTGATACCTCTGACACCACAGTGTTTTAGTGTCTCCAGACTTAACCTCTTTCACCCATCCTGATCTTTTCTTTATCCAGTTTGAACTAACAGGTTCAAACACAGCCTGTAGTCTCTGACAGTAGGTCCAGCGAACCACATGGAGGTGGAGATGGAGGAGGTGATGGAGGAGGTGAGGATGGACTCGATGATGGCCGTGTAGAACTGCACCAACATCTGTGCAGGCAGCTTGGCTTTCCTGAGCTGCCGCAGGAAGTGCATCCTCTGCTGGGCCTTCTTGATGAGGGAGCTGATGGTCGGCTCCCACTTGGTTTATTGTTTATTTGGTTGGGACAGTACATGTTAATGAACACATCACTTCGGATTGTAGCCATGGGCTAATTTCCATCCATCGTCCCACATTCGCACTCACAACATCATTCACCCTGAACTATTGCACCTGTTTTAGTGGTATGGGAAACCGGAGCACCCGGAAGAAACTGGAGCAGACACGGGGAGAACATGTAAACTCCACTCAGAAAAGCCCTGTTCCGACCGGGATTTGACCCCAGAACCTTCTTGCTGAGAAGCGAGAGTGCTAATCACTTTTACATACTCGTGAAGAAGATGACAAAGTCTGGGATTGTGTCTTAAATTCAGACAGAAGACATGTTTTATTGTTGATGGTAGAGACAGCACGAACACAGAGGTTACAGGCTGCAAGTGATAAAATACAACATGGAATGAACACCGTCCAATCAGCTTTCGCCGCGATGCCACTAGCTTCATCCTTGATATTACCAAAACATGCAGCGGAAAAGTACTGCCTTGTGCATATTGTTAGAATGATGAGTTAGAACTTTAACCACAGTTGCTTCAAAGTGTCATAAAATACCTAAACTCGCTTTGCTTGTGTTTGTAAAACTTTATTTTACTTCTCAAATATCAGGGTTTGTCTCCTATATGATATATTTAACTAGAATTTCTTGCCAAACAACCAGTGATTGGACTGTACATTATTCAATTCTAGTAAAGTTGCATTTTAGGGTTGGAGACCAGATACAGTGTATTGCGAAAGTATTCGGCCCCCTTGAACCTTTCAACATTTCACCACATTTCAGGCTTCAAACATAAAGATATTAAAAAAAAATGTTTGTCATGAATCAACAACAAGTGAGACACAATCGTGAAGTGGAACGAAATTTATTGGATAATTTAAACTTTTTTAACAAATAAAAAACTGAAAAGTGGGGCGTGCAATATTATTCGGCCCCTTTACTTTCAGTGCAGCAAACTCACTCCAGAAGTTCAGTGAGGATCTTTGAATGATCCAATGTTGTCCTAAATGACTGATGATGATAAATAGAATGCACCTGTGTGTAATCAAGTCTCCGTATAAATGCACCTGCTCTTTGATAGTCTCAGGGTTCTGTTTAAAGCGCAGAGAGAACCATGAAGACAAAGGAACACACCAGGCAGGTCTGAGATACTGTTGTGGAGAAGTTTAAAGCCGGATTTGGATACAAAAAGATTTCCCAAGCTTTAAACATCTCAAGGAGCACTGTGCAAGCAATTATATTGAAATGGAAGGAGTAGCAGACCACTGCAAATCTACCAAGACCCGGCCGTCCCTCCAAACTTTCATCTCAAACAAGGAGAAGACTGATCAGAGATGCAGTCAAGAGGCCCATGATCACTCTGGATGAACTGCAGATAACTACAGCTGAGGTGGGAGAGTCTGTCCATAGGACAACAATCAGTCGTGCACTGCACAAATCTGGCCTTTATGGAAGAGTGGCAAGAAGAAAGCCATTTCTCAAAAATATCCATAAAAAGTCTTGTTTAAAGTTTGCCACAAGCCACCTGGGAGACACACCAAACATGTGGAAGAAGGTGCTCTGGTCAGATGAAACCAAAATCGAACTTTTTGGCCACAATGCAAAACGATATGTTTGGCGTAAAAGCAACACAGCTGATCACCCTGAACACACCATCCCCACTGTCAAACATGGTGGTGGCAGCATCATGCTTTGGGCCTGCTTTTCTTCAGCAGGGACAGGGAAGATGGCTAAAGTTAATGGGAAGATGGATGGAGCCAAATACAGGACCATTCTGGAAGAAAACCTGTTGGAGTCTGCAAAAGACCTGAGACTGGGACGGAGATTTATCTTCCAACAGGACAATGAACCAAAACATAAAGCCAAATCTTCAATGGAATGGTTCACAAATAGAAGTATCCAGGTGTTAGAATGGCCAAGTCAAAGTCCAGACCTGAATCCAATCGAGAATCTGTGGAAAGAGCTGAAGACTGCTGTTCACAAACGCTCTCCATCCAACCTCACTGAGCTCGAGCTGTTTTGCAAGGAAGAATGGGCAAGAATTCCAGTCTCTCGAGTTGCAAAACTGAGAGACATACCCCAAGCGACTTGCAGCTGTAATTGCAGCAAAAGGTGGCGCTACAAAGTATTAGCGCAAGGAGGCCGAATAATATTGCACGCCCCACTTCTAAGTTTATTTGTTAAAAAAGTTTAAATTATCCAATAAATTTTGTTCCACTTCATGTTGATTCTGGACAAAAAATTACATTTTTATATCTTTATGTTTGAAGCCTGAAATGTGGCAAAATGTTGAAAGGTTCAAGGGGGGCGAATACTTTCGCAAGGCACTGTACTTCAAAGGACTCACCTGAGGGGGACTGCTGCGTCTTCGAGCATCTTCTTTGACGCTGCTGTACTAGCCGGTGTGTCATTCTTCTCTGAGAAATACACCACTTCCTTGATCCCTACAATAAAAAAAAAGACATTCAAATCATAGAACAAAAATAATCAGTTTTGGATTTCAAACAATCCCAGAGCAGAAGGGGACACACCTACACCTACACACCTACACACGCACGCACGCACACACACAAAATATTGAATACATACAATACAATAAATAATAAATACTTCAAGGATCATTTTAAAAAGATGCACATTCTCTGCTTTTAACTTAAGGACTCTGTTTCTTGCCACCACAATTCTGGAGTCACTTTCCTTGCTGCTATCGCTTGTTTTACGATTCAAATGAACGTTAATCATTTTTAGTCTGCAGTTACTCATTTTAGAGGTGCAACGGTTCATCACTGATCCGTGATCCGTTCGGATCAACGTCTTCGGTTCGGTACAGACGTGATCCGCGGTTTGATTTATGAAAAAACAGTTGTGCGCACGTTGTTCAGTCCACACACAGCGTGGTCACGGCGAGCGGAGGAACGGAGAAGCCTGCGTCATTTAAATCCCCGGTATGAGAGCATTTTGGCTTCACTGTAACTGCACTGATAATTAGAGTCGACAAAACTGTCACAATGTGTAAATACTGTGGCACAAGAAAAACGTGAGTGAAAAAAAACGTCTCAACGACCGCTTATTGTCGCGGCATTTAAGCAGCTCCTTTACGCACAGACCGGGCTAAAGTCAACTCTCCCGCACATCCTCAGCTGCGCTCACGACTGACGCTTGGACGTCCCGCGGAACATAAAATAGATCCATGAGCGGAACGGAGAACTTCATCACCGCAGACTGAGAGATGAAGAGTCTGGCGCTGCAGACACTCCCCCTCTACGACAGTCACACAGTCACACAGCACAGGTACTGACGCACAGAGCAGGTACTGACGCACAGAGCAGGTACTGACGCACAGAGCAGGTACTGACACACAGAGCAGGTACTGACACACAGAGCAGGTACTGACGCACAGAGCAGGTACTGACGCACAGAGCAGGTACTGACGCACAGAGCAGGTACTGACACACAGAGCAGGTACTGACGCACAGAGCAGGTACTGACACACAGAGCAGGTACTGACACACAGCACAGGTACTGACGCACAGAGCAGGTACTGACACACAGCACAGGTACTGACACACAGAGCAGGTACTGACACACAGAGCAGGTACTGACACACAGCACAGGTACTGACACACAGAGCAGGTACTGACACACAGCACAGGTACTGACGCACAGAGCAGGTACTGACACAGAGCAGGTACTGACACACAGCACAGGTACTGACACACAGAGCAGGTACTGACACACAGCACAGGTACTGACGCACAGAGCAGGTACTGACACAGAGAGCAGGTACTGACACACAGAGCAGGTACTGACACACAGAGCAGGTACTGACACACAGCACAGGTACTGACACAAGCAGCGGAGGAATGGAAGACAAAGGCCCAGTACTAATATTCCAGTCACAACTGATAATGCCAAAAATTAAATAAATGCAGTGAATGAGGCTGGACTGGGCCCAGAATGGACCCCCTCCTTGGGAGAATCAGGTGGTTTAATATATGAGGGTAAATACCCTCATAAAGTGCCTTCTTATGTTGCACTTTGTGTTGTTATTCATTAATTATGTTAAAAAGACATAATTTGATGGATGGAATATGCCTTCCATCCATCCATCCATCCATTTCCTTCCCTTAATCAATTTCTAGGTCGGGGGGGGTGGCAGTCAGAGCTGCACCCACAGAGCACCAGCCCCTTTCTGATCCTCCTGCAGGAGTCTACAGGAGCCTCGATTATTCAGTAGGGAAAATATGCCTTGTGCACTTTCATTTGATTTTATACATTTTAATGTATTAATAATAACGTGTTTAAAAAAAAAGATTCGAGAAATTAACCAAATCGAGGGCTCTGAACTGAGGTACGATCTGAACCGTGATTTTTTCAAACCGTTGCACCCCTACTCATTTTACGGATGTCATACAATACTTGGGGATTTTGCCAACTTTAAACATGTCAGGAGGACAACAGAAAACAGAAAACAGCAGATCGTCTGATGCGACCGCTGGAAAGTCCAAATCCAGGGAACCGGTTCTTGAAGGGCCGGTGTGTCTGCAACTTTTAGTTCCAACCTGTGCTCCTGCTAAAACGCCAGACTCCACCCATTTCCTCGGGTTTGTCCAGTTTTAACCTGAAGATTTGAGGAAATGGGTAAAACCTGTAGCCACACCGGTTTAACCCCCCTGTTCTAATCTGAAAAATACCAGTGAGGAATTTAAACATGAGCAGTGTTAAGACTTTGTCAGTAAACTGTTTCTCCAGCACCAACAACACAAGCATTTCCAACATCCCCATAGCACTGGCGGTCTTAGTGGTAGACCTGGGTAGGCCTACGTAAGCCGAGGCCGACCACTTTTTTGTCTTGGCCTACCCACTAAATATTCTTGTCCTCTCCAGTCAATGTTTTTCTAATGGGTAAATCACAATTTAAATCCAGCTACTCACTGCTATAACTGCTACACAGGCTTTTTCCATAGCACTTTACACTATTATTATGTATGTCGTTGACCTCAGATCCTTATTAAAAATGTAAACGCGCAGCACAAAAGGGATATAGGAGAACGTCCAGATTAAGAAGATTGACGTTTGCAGAGTTGTAGAGGATCCTGAACACATGAAGCTGCTTTTGAAGACACCCACCTGCCTGGAGGATCAGCTTGGCGCACTCGTTACAGGGGAACAGGGTCACGTACATGGTGCAGCCTTTCAGGTCTGCGCTGTTCTTGTTCATGATGGCATTGAGCTCTGCGTGGCACACTGTGGGACAGGACGCAGAAGTTAATTCTGTGCATTGAAAACAGTTATTGAAGCAGGAATGAAAATCTGAGGTTTCTCTGTGGCCTGCTGGGCTGTAGTATGGACTTTATATCAGGGGAGGACTGACCAAGTCTTGACGTTACCCACAGTGTAGTGGGGCGTTCAGACCGCTGATGTAGGAACGCAGCTTCCACGCGCACCATTCTCTAAATTTCAGACGCTAGGGGTGTTCAGACCAGAAGTCCTGGCCAGCGGTGGCGACCGCCGGAAGTGGCGGAAGTAGCGGACTTTGATGCTAAGTTAAGCTAGCAGGTTTTTGTGTAAAGATCTTCTCCAATAATGCAGCTCTGCAGCGTGTCTGTGTCTGAGACCTTCAGAGACTTTATATAACAGTAGTATGTATTCACGGAGGTGCGCAATAAGTTTTTTTATTATTAAACGGTACTTCCGCATCGGCGAACACTGCATAGTTTACAGTCACTGGAGAATGAGAACTCAGGTGGAGGCATATGTTCACAAGCACAGAGTCCCCCATTGTCAATCCTGGTTTAGCTCCTGTTTTTGCTGTTTACAGCATGTTCAGTCTGCTCCCTCAGACCATTAATGTCCCCGTGACCACTTTGCGGCTCTCTGATTGGTCGCTGCACGTGCCTCCCGAGGAAAAAGTTCAGCAATGTTTATCTCGCGTGCGTCGATTTTCCATTTCTGAGCTTCTACTGCACAGTCGGTGTGCGTCGGTGTGTGCGCACATGCAGTTCTACGCTGAAACGCAGAGCGGCAACTTTTCATTGAAAGTCGCCGCAACGCATGATCCGGTCTGAACACCCCACTAGTCTTAATGTGGAAGAAGCAGAACAAAAGCTAGCTGGAGTCAATTTCCATATATGGGCTTCTCTCTTGTGGCAGTAGCTTCACACCGTAACAGAAGCAGACGAGTCAGAAAGGCCCTGTTCCCCGTTTTTACATTGTACAGAAAATGTGTCGGGTGTCGAAAATGAGATTATTTTTATTTACAAAATGAAAAAGGTAAATTATGCCGGATTGCTTTTTCTTTGAAATGTTTGGTTTGCTTGCCTCTTTGGAATTCTATACTTTGAGAAATTTAGTACAGAGGAAATGGGCAAACCCCCAGAAAAATAAACTTGTGGACTTGTGTGGAAGCTGGATTCACACTGTGCTTTTCCATCTCAACCCACTCAGCTCCTCCTGCATTACATCACAAAGACAGATTGGACATTACTGGACCAGTAGTAGGGTTTGAAGCAAGGCAAGCCCCCTCAAGGTTTTTGGATCTTTGCAAAAATGTCTTCTTAATTTGAGTGGTCTTTTTCTTCCGGATAAATTGTGAGATGAGACTATCCAATTTGTTCACAAATGATTTGGTAATAAAATAAAGGTATACAAAAGGTGGAACCAATATAGAAATTATGGTAAATCATTAATTCCTATTACATTAATTCTCCCCACCAGGGAAAAAGGGAGGTTCATCCATTTCCCAAACTTCTGTTTTGTTTGCTCGTATAAAGTTGAGAAATTGTGTTTTACTTTGAAGACCCAAAAACTCTTATTTTATTTAAACGCATCTAAAACTGCAAAAGGATATGATTTGAGAAAGATCGGGAAGAGTGCACTGTTTGAGAAATTAGTTTTATATCCTGATATTATTCCGACTCCCTACCAGTAACTTGTGGGGAGTCCTTCGCTTTGACACATATAGCAGTAAATCATCGGCTTACCTTATGCTTAGTGTTATGCTCTAATAATTCAATATAACACATTTTTGATAATCAGTTTTGTTCATGATGTTTCTGCCTCCAGCATATCCAGAGAGAACCAGGACCAACCTGGTCCAAACCAGGTCTCAACCAACATTTGCGTGCGCACACACAGAGAGATACACAATATTCAGTTTTATTTAATAAGTTAAGCTTTGTTCCGGCCTACACACAAGTATATCTCAAATTAGGGAATAATAAATAAATAATGAGATTATGCAGCTCTGCGATCTTGTGGACCATCCTCTTGTAGAAGTTTGTTTTCTATCTGGTTCTCACCGTAGAGGTACTTTCTCTCTGCCTCTTCTTTCTCTGCATTTCGGGACCAGGGCAGATTTTTACTGTCTCTTGGCATCCCATTGTAGCCGACCCCCACAATCTTTTTCTCCTGGTTCACTATGCAAGCACCCACCTGCAGACCAGTCACCAACAGGAAGAGATGGAAAGAGAAGAATCAGGTCAAGTGGGATTATTAATCTGAAGCAGTAACTTTAGCTCCGTTTCCACCGCCTCGACTCAAATCTGTTAGAGAGCGTTTCCATCGCCCTTGCGGAATTATTGTTTGTCCTCTCCTCAAACGGAGGAAAGTGTTGACCACATCACGCTGGGCCCGTCTAGAACCAGGGACAAGTAGTTACTAAAAAAAAAAAACAGGGTAGCGGCTAAAGCGAGGCGGGGGAAATGCCTGCAAACCGGGGAGAGTCAAGTCGGCGGAAACAGACCTAATGTCAGAAGCGACATCAAGGACACTGCAAACTTTTTTTCATTTTAACACACACATATATGTGGCTATATCTGCATAAAGCCAGGTATAGCCAGATCCAGTCAGACCTCTATATCTATCTAGGGCAGGGCCTGGTTAGTACTGTGATGGGAAGTGCTCAACTGTTGTTTTGTTTGTAAGCAAGACCCACATATGAATGGGTCTGGTGTGTAAATGGTGGTCAGAGGGGCCGATGGCACATACTGGTTGCTTTGCTTCTGTCAGTGTGCCCCAGGGCAGCTGTGGCTACAGTAATCGTTTATCACGCTTTTAAGTCGTCTTTATCTATATAGTGCATTTTTACAGACCAAGGTCATTGTGTATGGAGTGAAAGAATAATGACATGTTTATATACAGTAGCGCTGTTTTCGAGTGTCCAAAAACAGCGCTATATAAAACCAATGCATTAATATATATTAATATATAATATAGTAATGGAAGTTGCTGTACCTGTGTCATCGGATCTTTGCTTTTCTTGGCCGCCAGACCAGCTATGCCCATGAAATAGTAATCGTCCGCAAGAACCTCACGAGCTTTTTCTGATGTTTGTGGAGCCTCTTGAGCTTTCCCGCTTCCGTCAGCGCTGCTTCAAAAATTCGAATGTAAATGCATAAGCTGTTTGTAATAAGTGATAATGTCTGTCCAACACAAAACAGACTTAATTTAGCAGCAAAGAAAGTGATGAATATGACAGAACAGAGACAATGCAGCTTCTGGTGTGTTTTTCGATCAGGTCTTTGATTCCTTACATTTATCAACACGTGTGTTTTGGTGAAACGTTTTGGCACAGGCTTTTTTCATGCACTGATGCGCCACACTTAAACCAAACTATATGTTGTTTACGAGTCAAAGTAAAGTTCAACTTTAGGTGTGACGGGGGGGGGGGGGTTGCATCACGCTGACGTCACAACATTTGAACAGTGGTTTATTAGAATGAAGCTGCTGACACAGATAAAGACACAACACATATTGTTGCATTTTAAACGTCCTGTCAAAAGAACGATTCATTCGAGGAAATTCTTAATCCATCATTATACAATAAAATAAAATGTATTCTTGTAAAGCCCTAAATCACAACAGCAGTAATCTCAGAGACTTAAAAAAACCATTGAAATCACCAACACAGATCAGAGAATCAACAGTTAAAACACAAAATATACACAAATGAGTTGGTCCATAGGGAGAGACCATATGGACCATTATAAATAATACATTTACAGTGTGTTTGTGGTTTCTGTGTAGTTAAAGCAGAAGAGAGTGATGTGCACCTGCCGCTGGTCAGACGCAGTATTTTGTCAGTCCTCAAGACTCTTCCTCCTGTCACCGCGGTCTATTTTACTAATGTAAAACAAGTTCACATTTTATAACCGTTGAATTAGCATTTTTCAGGTAATGCTTAACCCGCCTCACTATTGTACTGTTGACAAGGGACATAAAGCGTGGGTCTGCAGTGTGGAAAATGTTACGGATAAATAAAAGCCAAAAAACTTACCATTGAGATGTATTATTATGTAGTAATAATACCAATTTGAAGTACGTAGAACAACATAAAAGGTATAGAGGAGAAATGTCTACTCCCAGGTGGATCATAAAGACTATTGGTCCTCCCGATTGTCAATCATTCTGGTGATACGTGCTCGTCAAAAAAGACCAGAGAGTTTGGCTCAAAAGGTGAAGAGTTCTTTCCTAAAATTTGGGATAATCCCCCTATTTACCTTTTACTTTATGAAAATGTTTTCATAGATAATTAAAAAGAAGCAGAAGAGAAGAAGAGCACAATGAGGACTGGTGATAATTACCTTCCGCTTGGACTGGCCATGGCTTCAGAGGTGAGACTCGAGAGAGACCGGAGTGAGACTGGTGAGAGACTGGTGAGACTAGAGTGAGTCCGGAGACAGGAGCAAGTGCTGTAGACTGAGGGACGTGATCTTTTATACAGCTCAACACTGGGCATCACCATCAAACCTGTTCCATCCTTCAAAGCCAAATATGTAGGCGGAGTTTGCGGCCTTTGAGATATTAACACAATGACTCCCAGAGCTGTCATCTTTATGGGTCGCTTTAAAATCAATGAAAGTTTCAATATTTCTCCAAAAAAGCTTATTAAATGTTTTTACCTTTACCTTTTTAAGTACTAAGACTGATTAATGAACAGTTTGTTTAAAGGCTGACGCTAACTGCTGATGGTAAACAGTGTGTTGCTATGGTCACCAACACTGGCTCTTCTCTGGTAGAAAACCCGGTTGAACCAGGACCAGTCCAAAACCAGTCCAGGACCAGGACTTGAGGAAGTGGACTGCAACTGCCATATAAGGTTTGGTTGCCAAGCGACCAAAAATGGCTACATTTGAAAAGTCAAAATGGGAGTTAAAGGTAGGACTACTCACATTTTAAAACATGTATTTATAGACATTTACAGAAAAATAATGACAGAAGAAAAACATGATATATTACACAAGCAGAGTAAAACTAAAAACTGTCAAATTGACTGCTCTTGTGTTAGTGTTAAAGAGAAACGCTGAACATGTGATAATCCTGGAGCTACATGTTACAGTGGAACAGGGGAAATGGAAGCAGAATTCTTATGTTTTTTCTGTACAAATAAATTCAGTAAATGGAATCAGTAAACCCAAAAAGCACCTAGATAAACCCAATTTTAAACAAGCTCTATATTTGAGCTACAAACATGTAAACTTATATCCAGTGGTGGTACATCACTGACCCAGAGTTATAAAAACTTTAAGCACTGATGTGTCTTTTATAAATCGCCTGTTAGACTAACAGTGGGATTTATTGCATTCATGGAAATGTCGACCAAACCATCAGTGGGATCCTCATAGACTTAAAAGAAAGTTGAATTCCTTTGGTCCACTCTAGTTTACTTGCTGTGAATTTTTGAAGTCTCTCGTTCAAATGAATGGAGTTGCGCCGGCTGACGCATGCGCAGATGCGTTTCTTCACAATTTTCTTGTGGGCGGGACCACTCGCGGCCATTTTGGATAGCTCCAGTAGAGCACATTTTTTGGCCCATTTGTTAGAACAGCGGAGATAGGCGTGACTCTGTCCGTTTATATGTAACTGAGGGGTCACGGTCAATGCGTCCCCCTATTACAACGGAGTATGACAACAGTTCCGCCTACTACTATTTTACTTTACTCACCAGTTTTTACACAGGACTGTATCTGATAAATGTAAACTAATTATGCTCCTAATTACCAGCGTATATTTGCTCAAATTAAAGTGTAAATGAAACATGCATCAGGCAGTGATGGGTTCTAGAGGACAGAGAGAGCCTCGACAGATGCTCGTACACCAGGCAGTCATGGGTTCTAGAGGACAGAGAGAGCCACGACAGCTGCTCGTACACCAGGCAGTCATGGGTTCTAGAGGACAGAGAGAGCCACGACAGCTGCTCGTACACCAGGCAGTCATGGGTTCTAGAGGACAGAGAGAGCCACGACAGCTGCTCGTACACCAGGCAGTCATGGGTTCTAGAGGACAGAGAGAGCCACGACAGCTGCTCGTACACCAGGCAGTCATGGGTTCTAGAGGACAGAGAGAGCCACGACAGCTGCTCGTACACCAGGCAGTCATGGGTTCTAGAGGACAGAGAGAGCCACGACAGCTGCTCGTACACCAGGCAGTCATGGGTTCTAGAGGACAGAGAGAGCCACAACAGCTGCTCGAACATCAAGCAGTCATGGGTTCTAGAGGACAGAGAGAGCCTCGACAGATGCTCGTACACCAGGAAGTCATGGGTTCTAGAGGACAGAGAGAGCCACGACAGCTGCTCGTACATCAAGCAGTCATGGGTTCTAGAGGACTTTTGAAGTCGAAGCCCTGGTGTTAAGCAGCGCTGTAGAGACTAGAGGACGCAGGCTGTAGAGGCTAGAGGACGCAGGCTGTTCGCTTCTTGTTCTGTGAGTGGAGGAGAACGAGCGTCCCGCTAAGACTCTACTCAGCACTTTTCACTGCTTGTAATTCTTACACAGCTGAATCAATGACCTCAAGTTTTCAATTAAATGATGTATTATGATACAACTCGTGTGTAGTAAAAAGCATTTTTATGAACTACTTAGAAAAAAAATCGGGTATAGCTTCTTTAATGCAACCCAGCTTCACCCAGACTCGACCTCATGGGGCCCCGGATAAATTGAATTTGAGACCCATGTTTTACAATATGTTGTGTTTGGCCTGTTTAGTCCAAGTGAAGGGGATGAGTTTTAGACCTGTGTTTTCCAAGCGGGGACACAGAGAATGCTTTATTTTGATTCACAACTTTAGCGTCATTCTTGGATGGTCGAACAGTGAGGATTGTTGCAATGTGGCTTTTCTGTATTTCTTATTTTTGAAGCCCTGTTGCTGACAGTGAACGATTGTAAAAACAACAACAAAGTTTTACTTTCCATTGAATACATTAGTAACGGCCTTTATGTCATTTGATTTGCATTTGATTTGCATTTGATTTGCCTTCCCTGAGCTGGAACCTTCTTCTTCTTGCAGTAGCAATGTGTTCATTTGCGTAGTTACTGAGGGGTAAACCGAACAAACACACTGTAGTCACAGAAGACAACAGCACTCTTCATTTTCACTGAGGCAAAAAATACACATTCCTGCAAAAACTAGTGATGCTGCAGTTTGGTTTTATTACAGGAATGTGTATTTTTTGGCTCAGGCCGTGTGTTTGTTAGGTTTACCCCTCAGTAACTACGCAAATAGCAGACCCCTGTATTTAATGTACTGTATGTATATGTATTTTATTTATTCAATATTAGTATTGTGCATTTTGTGTCTTTACACTGTTGAGAAATGTACTTGTCTATTGCACGCTTTGAGTGAATAAAAAAAAAAGTAACTACGCAAATGAACACATCTCTACTGCAAGAAGAAGGTTCCAGCTCAGGGAAGGCAAATCAAATGCAAATCAAATGACATCAAGACCGTCACTATATTCAATGGAAAGTAAAACTTTTTTTTTTGACCATCATTCACGGTCAGCAACAGGACACAGAAAAAGTTGAGCCGCTTTTTTCCTCTTCGGGCCAAATAGAGCGCCACATATTTACACCCAAACACATTTTATCCAAGTTGACGTGATCCTAACACTTATAGTCGCTGACAAAAGCAGAAAAACAGCAGCATGTGGTGTCCGCAGGACCAAACTACAGACGCTGGACTTGGGAACTAGCTGCGCGCTCTGATTCGCTGTTTCGATCTGTCAATCACCTCCCACCGTTTATTGTTTACCTCGTTTTGACAAAAGTGTTTAAAAACCATTCTAAATACAAAGCAAACGGGGTTATGCGCTTCATTTGCGTCATCAGAGTGGTAATTGTCACTGAAGTGGACCCGGGCGTTTCTGTGCCTCTCGAGGCTGAAGGAGACCAATCGCTCTCTATCTAATGATCAATCAATCAATCAAATGTTATTTACAGTAAAGAGCCCTTTACAACACACAAGGCGACCAAAGTGTTTTGACAATGAAATCATTCATACAACCAAACAATAAAACAGTCAGATAAAACTATGAGAAACTAAAGAAACTAAAGTGTCGCCGTGGTACTGAGTATTAAAAGCCAGTCTGAATAAATATGTATTAAGTCTGGATTTAAAAAGGCCAAAGTCAGTGATTGTGCATAGATCAGGGGGCAGCTTGTTCCAGAGCTTTGGTCCAGCAACTGAAAATAAAGGGCATTACAATAATCAATTCTAGAACTTATAAAAGCATGGATGGTTTTCTCCAGGTCAGAGCGGAAGATTGACAGAATCAATGAAAAAACTACTCTAGGCATGTGTATGAGGCCAACTATCACTGTAATCATGTTTAAAGCAGAGAAAAGTCAAAAAGCGGAATATGGGCCCTCTAAGTTTCAGGTTGTACCTGAGGGGTCACGGTCAATGCGTCCCCCTATTACAACGGAGTATGACAACAGTTCCGCCTATTATTATTTTACTTTACTCACCAGTATTTACACAGGACTGTATCTGATAAATGTAAGCTACAGTACCTTGCGAAAGCATTCGGCCCCCTTGAACCTTTCAACATTTCGCCACATTTCAGGCTTCAAACATAAAGATATAAAAATTAAATTTTTTGTCAAGAATCAACAACAAGTGGGACACAATCGTGAAGTGGAACAAAATTTATTGGATAATTTAAACTTTTTTAACAAATAAAAAACTGAAAAGTGGGGCGTGCAATAATATTCGGCCCCCTTGCGCTAATACTTTGTAGCGCCACCTTTTGCTTCAATTACAGCTGCAAGTCGCTTGGGGTATGTCTCTATCAGTTTTGCACATCGAGAGACTGGAATTCTTTCCCATTCTTCCTTGCAAAACAGCTCGAGCTCAGTGAGGTTGGATGGAGAGCGTTTGTGAACAGCAGTCTTCAGCTCTTTCCACAGATTCTCGATTGGATTCAGGTCTGGACTTTGACTTGGCCATTCTAACACCTGGATACGTCTATTTGTGAACCATTCCATTGAAGATTTGGCTTTATGTTTTGGATCATTGTCCTGTTGGAAGATACATCTCCGTCCCAGTCTCAGGTCTTTTGCAGACTCCAACAGGTTTTCTTCCAGAATGGTCCTGTATTTGGCTCCATCCATCTTCCCATCAATTTTAGCCATCTTCCCTGTCCCTGCTGAAGAAAAGCAGGCCCAAACCATGATGCTGCCACCACCATGTTTGACAGTGGGGATGGTGTGTTCAGGGTGATGAGCTCTGTTGCTTTTACGCCAAACATATCGTTTTGCATTGTGGCCAAAAAGTTCAATTTTGGTTTCATCTGACCAGAGCACCTTCTTCCACATGTTTGGT